AGTTTTGGGCGCATCTCCGAAAAAGCACCAGCTGGATTTTAACCCGGTTCTGACATTGCACTAACTCTGGCACTGCATCGCCCCCACCTCTGGTATGGATTTTGGGGGCGTCGGGGGGGGGTGGTTGTGGGTGTGGAAGGGGCAACAGGGTCTATTAGAACATACATAGAACAGTACAGGCCCTTCAGACCACGATGTTGTGCCAAGCTTTTACCCTAAACCTAAGGTCTATCTAACCTCCACCCCTACCTTGTAGAACATAGGACAGTACAGCATGGCACAGGCCCTTTGGCCCACAATGATGATTCTTCCCCCAGATATCAGTCTGAGGGGGTTTTGGTGGGGGTGGGGTGGGATGGTTACTATGGAGAGGTCCTGCCTTCCATCCCCCCCACCCCCACCCCAGTCTCCCATGGTCTCCCCATTTCCTGGGGTATATCGTATTGGACTTGACACACCTCAGGAGGACGAGGGAACACTCCTGCCTACCTGCCTCCACTCCGACAATACTCGAGAAGCTCGACACCGTCCGGGGCAGGGAGCAAGACCTCCCCACCTTCCACACACCCTCCCTCCCCTCCCCCCCACCCCACCATTCCCCGAAGCATGGCCGCAGCAGTGTGTACCATCTACGAGATGCGCCGCAGCGACTCGCCAACGCTCCTCCTCCTCCGACTGACGGCACCTTCCGAACCCGACACCTCTTACCCCCCAACCCGGAAGGACGAGGGGCAGCAGACGGTGGGGGTCAAAATCCTGGAACTCCCTCCCAGGTGGAGCTGTTGGGGGGTGTCCCTAATCCCTGCACACACACACGCACAGGGTGGAGGGTGGGGGCAGTGTACCCCGGTTTCCTCTCCTCATCCCCCCCCCATCCCCCCCGACCCTGAGCGCCACACCGCCGAGCGAGGGAGACAGGCCGGTCGGTTCCAGCACAGCAAGATCCCACCACCAATTGAGGCCATGGGTAATGCTTTCCATCTGTGGGATCTTTCTGTTCTTTCCAAGCAGTTGGTGGTGGGGGTGGGGGGAGCGGATGTGTTATTGTGCCGTGCCTAGAGGGAGGTGAGGGAGAAAGCAGAGGTGGGTGGGGGTTGTTCCTGACCAGCTAAGCCGATTTCTGTCCTTTCTGTCAGGTTTTCCAACGATGGAACACCAATCATTGCCAAACCTGATGAACGGTAAGACCGACCCTCCCCACCAACCCCCCCACCCTCCTCCGCTCTGACCTTCACTGGCCCACCCCCGCTCCCCTTTCATCTTCCGCCAGCTCCTCACCTCCCTCTGTCCTCACCCTCCCTCCCTTGATCGATCCCAAGACCTGGACAGTAACGACATGGGAACGGGAGGTGGCCATTCAGCCCCTCTGCCCATTCTTTTTTTTAGGCTGTTCACCAGGATGATGCTTAGGACGGAGGGATTGACTTAGGAGAAAAGGCCAAACAGGGTTGGGACTCTACTGACTGGAGTTGAGGAGAATGAGAGGTGATCTCATTTAGGCACAGAGGGGTTAGACAAGGTCAATGCTGAGAGGGCCTCAGAATATATTTTTAAGACTGGGATGAGGAGGCATTTGTTCTCCGAGGGTTGTGTGAGTCCTTGCCACAGAGAGCTGTTGGGGGGTTGGTGACAGAATCCTTGTGTATATTGAAGATCGAGCTCGAGAGGTTCCTGATCAGTCGGGGAACGGGCAGGAAGGTGGACGTGAGGAATGTTGGATCAACGTCTATTGAATGGGGTAGCAGACTGGCTCAAGGGGCCGAATGGCCCACTCCTGGCCTTATACAGGGGCAGAAGTGGACTGAACACCACGCCATTTGATACAGTCCTGGCTGATCTCTTCCTCCATTGTACCACGGGGTTGGCAAGACCACATCTGGAGGATGCTGTATCCTTTTGGTCTCCCTATTCCCATAAGGACAGTAATCCATGAGAGATTGTTCCCGAACCCAAAGAGGTTTCTTATTACCTTCTGAGGAGACATTGAGCAGGTTGGGGTCCGTATCCCTGGGAGTTTGGAGAAATGGTAATCACGCGATATGTATTAATGATTCCGACGAGGCAAGCGAACGGTACTGTTGACAGGTTTAGGGATGCCAAGTGGTGACGATGACAGAGAGTCTGCAGAGAGATGTATAGATGGGTTGTGTGCCTGAGACAAAACACAGCAGGTGGAGTATAATGTGGGGAAATGGACGTTACACACTTTGGCAGGAAGATTAGAACAGCTGGGTATTACTTAAACAGAGAAAGACTGCAGAAAGTTATGGAACAGAGGGATTTGGGAATCCTCCTCATCCATGAATCACAAAAAGATTAGCATCCAGGTTCAGCGGGAAATACGGAACACTAGTGGAATGCTGGCCTTTATTCCAAAGGGAATGGGGTATAAAAATAGGGAGGTTTTGTTAAAACTACAAGGCACTAGTCAGACCCCAGCTGGAACACCATGAGAACGGTTCAGGGGGCCCTGTATCCAAGCAGAGCTAGACCAGTGTGAGGTTTTTAATCAGTAAGGGGGAGGGGGATTGAGTGGAAAAGGCAGGAGGAGGGTGGGGCTGATGGTGATCAGATCAGCCATGATCTCACTGAATCAGGGAGAAGACCCGATGGGCTGAATGGCCTCCTGCTCCTTGTGGTTTCAATGAGATCCTGTCTTGTTCTTTTAAACTCCACAATCCAATTTACTCCGGGACGGGGGGTGTAGGGGGCTGGAGGGGGTGACGGAGATAGGGAGGGGGCTGGAGGGGGTGACGGAGATAGGGAGTGGGTGTCGGGGGCTGGAGGCGGTGACGGAGATAGGGACGGGGTGCAGGGGGATAATGGAGTTGGAGTGAAAAGTGAAGCCACACCCTAAATGATCCAGGGCTCTAATCCTCTCAGCAGACTGTGGGACCTTCAATACCCTGACCATGTTCTGTCCTGTCTAACCGACAGCATCCAGTGACGGTATTAACACTGTCGATCAGGATTAAATACGATTGCAGGGGCTGGACAGTAAACAACAGCTGGTGCCTTCTCTACATATTCACCATGGTCTAATAAACAAGCTGGCATTATATCTGCTGTGTGCCGACACACCGTCTCGCAGATGTGCCTGAACACCCGCACCCTGGACAGACTGCTCACTGTGTGCGTTTGACACTGTGTTCTCCAGGCCTCCACCTGTACTGTACTTGACACTGTACTCTGTAGCTGCATCAGATAATGTTTGACACTGTGTGTGTATGTGTTTGACACTGTTCTTTGCTGCACCTAACTGAGTTCACAACGTTTTCTGTCTCTCCACCTGACTGTTGGACACTCTGCACTGTTTCTCTGCCTGACCCGGTGTGCTTGTGCACCTGAGAGACTGTGTTGTTTCTTCACCTGTCTCTCTGTGTGTGTGTGTGTGTGTTAGAGAGAGAGAGAGAGACTGCATTCTGTTTTTCAACCTGACAGTGAGACTGTTCTTTCTATGTGTGTGTGTGTGTGTGTGTGTGTGTGTGTGTGTGTGTGTGTGAGAGAGAGAGAGGGAGCGTGCATTCTGTTTTTCAACCTGACTGACAGTGAGACTGTTCTTTTTCTGTCTGTGTGTGTGTGAGAGAGAGAGATTGTGTTCTATATCTGCACCTTACTGTATGTGTGTGAGAGACAGTGACACTGCGTTCTGTCTCTCTGCCTGTTTGTATGAGAGAGAGAGACACAGGAAGATTGTATTGTTTCCTGTGCCTGACTGTGTGTGTGTGTATGTGAGAGAGAGAGAGAGAGAGGGAACGTGAGTGAAACGGCGATCTGTCTCTCTGCCTGACATTTGTCTCTGTTCTTGTGCAGTCCACCCAGGGACACTTGAGTTGATGTCTGACTGGAGTGCGTTCAGCCCGTTCCCTGCTGCTCCTGTCCCGTTGTCGGGGCAGGATCTGGAGGCGTGGTTGGAGGACTTGGAGAGCGTCCTGCACCCCTCACCAGCTGCCAACCGCCCGGGGGGGGTGGAGGAGGAGAACAGGAAGCTGAAGGAGCTCTGGGTGGACGACGTGGACAGCGTCCTGTGCCCCCCGGACCCCGCAGACGACACTCAGCGCCTCAACCAGCTCCTGCTGGAGGACCTTGAGAGTATTCTGTACCCGGCCCCGGTCTTGGAGGATCACACGCCGTCCCCAGGCATCGCAGAGGTAAGGGAGTCATGGTCCCCATTCCCACATCTGTGCCAGTGCCCAAGCCCTGCTGCTGAGGCCCTCCTCCCTATCTCTATCGCCTCCTCCTTCTCTCCGGTGGGAGTGTGTCTGTGTGGAGACAGGGAAGTGGAGGGGTGGGAGGTGAGGGAAATGTGTTGATCTCATTCCCTGTCTCCGAAATCGGTCTAAAATCCTGTTCCGTTGGTGGAATTATTTGAGGACATTACTTGCATGGTGGACAGTGGGGAACCTGTGTATGTGGTGTATCTGGATTTCCAGAAGGCATTTGACAAGGTGCCACACCAAAGGCTGCTACGTAAGATAAAGTCGCACGGTATTACAGGGTAATGTATTGGCATGGATAAAGGATTGGTTGACCAGTAGACAGCAAAGAGTAGGGGTAAATGGGTGTTTTTCTGGTTGGCGGTCAGTGGCCAGTGGTGTGCCTCAGGGATCAGTGTTGGGACCGCAATTGTTTACAATTTACATAGATGATTTGGAGTTGGGGACTAAGTGTGGTGTGTCAAAATTTGCAGATGACAGTAAGGTGAGTGGTAGAGCAAAGTGTGCAGAAGACACTGAAAGTCTGCAGAGGGATATAGATAGTCTAAGTGAGTGGGCTAAGGTCTGGCAGATGGAGTACAATGTTGATAAGTGTGAGGTCATCCATTTTGGTAGGAATAACAGCAAAATGGACTATGTTTTAAATGGTAAAAAATTGCAGCACGCTGCTGTGCAGAGGGACTTGGGTGTCCTTGTGCATGAATCGCTGAAGGTAGGATTGCAGGTGCAGCAGGTAGTTAAAACGGCAAATGGAATTTAGTCTGTCATTGCTCGAGGGATGGAATTTAAAAACAGAGAGGCTATGCTGCAGCTGTATAGGGTCCTGGTGAGGCCACACCTGGAGTACTGTGTGCAGTTTTGGTCTCCTTACTTGAGAAGAGATATACTAGCACTGGAGGGGGTGCAGAGGAGATTCACTCGGTTGATTCCAGAGTTGAGAGGGTTGGATTATGAGGAGACACTGAGTAGACCGGGATTATACTCATTGGAATTCAGAAGAATGAGGGGAGATCTTATAGAAACATATAAGATTATGAAGGGAATAGATAAGGTGGAGGCAGGGAGGTTGTTTCCGCTAGCAGGTGAAACTAGGACTAGGGGGCATCGCCTCAAAATAAAGGGAGGCAGATGTAGGACTGAGGTCAGGAGGAACTTCTTCACCCAAAGGGTTGTGAATCTGTGGAATTCCCTGCCCAGTGAAGCGGTTGAAGCTACCTCGCTGAATGTTTTTAAGGCAAGGCTAGATAAATTTTTGAACAGTAAAGGAATTAAGGGTTATGGTGAGTTCAGGGTGGGGGGTAAGTGGAGCTGAGTCTCAAAAAGATCAGCCATGACCTTATTAAATGGCCTACTCCTGCTCCTAGTTCTTATGTTCTCTTCCTCCTTACAGCCAGAGGCGTCGCCACCCAGACCCGGGGACCGTCCACCCCTCTCCCCCCATGCCCAGGGGGGCCGTGAGGACGAGCCCCTCCTGGCCGACGAGCCATGGCGCTGCTCGGATCTCCCATCCAGCTCCTCCTCCTCCTCCCCGTCTCCCAGCTCCCAGCCGGGACGGGAGCAGCCGGAAGAGGGTGCGCGGGGGACCAAAAGGCGGAGGAGGGAGGAGGTCCGCTGCCCGTCCTGCTTGAAGACCACCCCGGGGGCAGCCCAGCTGCTGGTGGAGAATCTGACGCGGGAGAACGAGAGGCTGAGGCACCGGATCGAGGAGCTGGCCAGAGAGGTTCAGGAAGTCCGCGAGAGGCTCATCCAGAGGGTGGTCGATGCTCACTGAGGGGGCTAGTGGCTTCCCGTCCCCACCGTCGTCTTCGTCTTCCTGTCTTTGGTAACCACCCCTACCTCCCCCCGGCGTCACCGGCTCACCTTCCTCCAGTGAGGGGAGAACGAAGAACCTCGCAGCAAGGGACAGGGGGGTGGGAGGTGCTACGTGAGCGGATTCCACAAGAATTCCCACCGCCCACCGGAATGCCCACCTTGGAAATTCCCCACCATCCCACCTCCCCCCCCACCCGGATCGAGCTGGGGAGTGCGAACTGGCAGGGAAGGAGATGGTTGTTGGGCGTCACTCGTCTCAGGTCCAGGACATCTCTGTGGGCGATGACCAGCTCCAACGAGAGAGAATCTAACCATTGGCCCCCCAAATGCTTGATGTTCAATGGTGTTACAATCACTGAATTCCCCCCCACCCCCCACTATCAACATCCTGGGGGTTATTGTCACCAACGAGAGAGAATCTAACCATCGCCGCGCGCCCCCCCCACCGCTTGATGTTCAATGGCGTTACCATCGCTGAATTTCCTGCCACTCCCCACTATCCACATCCTGGGGGTTACCATTGAGAGAGAATCTAACCATCGCTCCCCCCTCCCTTGACATTCAATGCTATCGTTGAATCCCTCAGTATCTAAAGAGCTTGTCATTGACTTCAAGAAGTAAGTGGGGGATTGGGGCGGGGGGGTGCATGCCCCTATCTAGATCAACGGACCTGAGGTGCAGAGTGTCGCGTTCCTGGGAGTGACGGTCACTGACAATATGTCCTGGACCTCTCACATTGATGCAACGATCAAGAAGTCACAACAACGCCTCTCCTTCCTCGGGCGGCTCGGGAAATTTGGCCTGTCCCGTAAGGTCCCTCACCAACTTCTACAGACGCACCATTGAAAGCGTATTGGCCTGGTACGGCAACTGCTCTGCCCAGGACCGTAAGAAACTACAGAAGATGGTGTGCACAGCCCAGACCATCACGGAAACCGACCTCCCATCCATGGACTACCATCTACATTTCTCGCTGCCTCAGAAAGGCGGCCAACATCATCAAAGACACCTGCCACTGGTTATAGTCTCTTCCAACCTCTTCCGGCAGGCAGAACATTACAAGGGCTTAAACACACACACCAACAGATTTAAGAACAGCTTCTTCCTCGCTGTTATTAGACTGCTAAATGGACCTCTCCGATTTTAAACCTGATGTTGATCTTGCTTTTTATGTATTGTCTTTGCAGCCGTTAACTTTGTGTCCCTTGCTCTGTTCAATCACCCTGTGATGTTTGTATGTATGATCTGCCTACACTACACACAGACCTTTTCACTCTACATAGGTATATCAAATCATAACAACGCGCTGGGGTTACCGTCTCCAAACGAGAGAGAATCTAACCATTGCCCCCCCCACCCACCTTTGACGTTCAATGGCGTTACCATCACTCAATCTCCCCCCACCCCACTACCAACAGCCTGGGGGTTACCCATTGAGCAGAAACTGAACCAGGACCCCCAGCCCCATATCAATCCTGCGGCTACAAGGAGCAGGTCAGAGGCTGGGAATCCTGAAGCGAATAAATCCCCTCCTGACTCTCCCCACCCCCTAAAGCCTGTCCCATCATCGACAAGGCACAAGTCAGGAGTGGGGAGTGGGGGAGGAGAACACCCCCCCCCCCAGCCGCCTGGATGGGGCACGGCTCCGACAACACTCGAGAAGCTCAACACCGTCCAGGGACAGAACAGCCCCCACCCCTCTCGATCGTTGCCCCTCTCCCACCTGCCACACTCCCTCCCTCCCCCCACCATCCCCCAACGCACAGCCGCAGCAGTGTGTACCGTCTGCGAGACGCACCGCAGCGACTCACCAATGGCACCTTCCGAACCCACCACCCTTTACATCTTCCCCACCCCCCAATGCTAGAAGGATGAGGGTTGGGGAACAGACCCATTAGAGGTCCATGCTTCCCCCTCCCCTTATCAAGCTTTGAACTAATCAGGTTAGAACCTCTCTGGAACAAAAACAAAGTTGCTGGAAAAGCTCAGCAGGTCTGGCAGCATCTGTGAAGGAGAAAACAGAGTTAACGTTTCGGGTCCAGTGACCCTTCCTCGCAACTTCCTGATTTACAGCATCCGCAGTTCTTTCGGTTTTTATATAGTAGTAGAACCTCTCTGTGTTTTGTTTAGCGAGTATATGTGAATAAATCTAGCCCTCCTCCCTCGAACCAATTTGTTATGTCTAGCGTGGTTATCCCTTTCAGCTCTTCAGTCTTGTACACGGGCTTCACGTATTGTTAAAATGTTTTTTTAAAAGAAAGCAAACTCTGATCAATAAAAATGACTGTATGCTTCAGCCACCTCTTACTGAGACTCCCAAATGACCACTCGCCATCCTAGTGTCCGTCCCATCTCGAATTGAGGGGCGCGCTACTCCAGTCAGAGATAACATATCATCGGGCTGTTAGGATGCGAAATTTCCTAAAGTTATGATAACCGCTGAGTGCTCGGCCCACACAAAGGAAGTCTGAGCAGAGACTAAATGCATTTGTGAGGAGGAAATCTTAGGATTGCAGGAGTCACATTGAGTCAGAGACTCGTACAGCACAGAAACAGACCCTTTGGCCCAACCTGTCTGTGCTGACCCAGATATCCTAAATTAATCTAGTCCCATTTCCCAGCATTTGGCCCATATCCCTCTAAACCCTTCCTATCCATGTCCCCATCCAGATGCCTTTTAATGTTGTAACTGTACCAGCCCCCACCCACTTCCTCTGGCAGCTCGTTCCACACACGCACCACCCTCTGTGTGAAAAAGTTACCCCTCAGGTCCCTTTCCCCCTCTCACCTTAAACCTATGCCCCTCTAGTTTTGGACTCCCCCCTACCCCTGGGGGAAAAGACCTTGTCTATTCACCCTATCCATGCCCCTCATGATTTTATAAACATCTATAAGGTCACCCCCTCAGCCTCCAACGCTCCAGGGAACATAGCCCCAGCCTCTCCCTGTAGCTCAAACACTCCAACCCCAGCAACATCCAGGTGTTAGAGGAGATTGGGTCAATTAGGGATATAGGACTAAGTGCCGGTAACTGGGATTGGTGTGGGTTGGTCAGCATGGATATGATGGGCCGAAAGGCCTATTTCAATGCGCTTTGGCTCTGTATTCATTGGAGTTTGGGAGAACGAGGTAGTGTGGAGGATCTGAAAGAAACCTGTAACACATCTGGACAGGGGGGGAAAGTACGGGAAGGATGTTCCTGATGACTGGGGGAGGCGGTGGGAGTCTAGAACCAGGGGGTCACAGTCCAAAGGAGACGGGGTTGGACTGAGATGAGGGAGAAATGTCTTCACGCAAGGAGGGCCTGTACAATCCTATGCTACATAATGCTGGGACTCCCTCCCTGACGGCAGTGTGAAGGGTGTCCCTCACACACACACGTGCACGCAGTTGGGGGGGGTGGGGTTGCTGCAGCAGTTCCAGAAGGCGGCTCACCCCCACCTTCTCCAGGAACGGGGAGGTGCAATTAAGGACGGTGGCAAGGAGAGTGGTGGGCGTGTGGAATGCGCTGCCAGCAGTGGAGTCAGACACTGTAGAGACTTTTAAGCAACTCTCGGAGAGGCACATGGAAGACAGTAAAATGTAGGGCCAACTTCGACAAGGGAGCCTCCGAAATGTCCACATTCTTCCGCAACCGAGGATTCCCCAGCTCCGTTGTCAACAGGGCCCTCAATTGGGTCCGACCCATCTCCCGCACTTCCGCCCTCACCCCTTCTCTTCCCTCCCGCAACAGCGATAGGGTTCCCCTTATCCTCACCTACCATCCCACCAGCAGCCACATCCAGAAGATCATCAGATGCCATTTCCGCCACCTCCAGACACATATTCCCCTCCCCGCCCTTGTCCGCCTTCTGCAGGGACCGTTCCCTCCGGGACACCCTGGTCCACGCTTCCTTCACCCCCAACACCTCCCCACAGCCCTACGGCACCTTCCCCTGTAACCGGCGAAGGTTCAACACCTGCACATTTACCTCCTCCCTCCCCACTATCCAAGGGCCCAAACATACCTTCCAGATGAAACAACACTTCACCTGCACTTCCCAGAATCTAGTCTACAGCATTCGCTGCTCACAATGTGGTCTCCTCTACATTGGGGAAACGAAGTGTAGACTTGACGACCACCGCAGAACATTTACGTTCTGCTCACAGAAAAAAGACCCTGAACTTCCCGTTGCCTGCCACTTCAATGCACCGCCCTGCTCCCCGGCCAACATCTCTGTCTCCGGTTTGCTGCAGTGTTCTAGTGAATCCCAACGCAAGCTGGAGGAACATCACCTCATTTTCCGCTTGGGGACCCTACAGCCCTCCGGACTCAATACAGAGTTCAATAATTTTAGGGCCTGATCTCTCACATGTCCCAACCCCCCAGCCCACCTAACAGGCCTTGTTACCACAGCCTGCCACTACACACCCCCTGTTGTTAGTCACTAACAGTCCCCATTAACAAATATTCACCCTCCCAGCCTGATCATTAGCAACTCCTTTGTCTGTCCAACTGTATTTCTCTCTCTTTGGGCTCTATCCTATCGTTTACTCCCTACCCCACCCACCTCCCTATTTTCTGCATATAATCTGACGTTTTCCCAGTCACCATCAGTTCTGAGGAACGGTCACCAGACCCAAAACATTAACTCTGTTTTCTCCTCCACAGATGCTGCCAGACCTGCTGAGCTTTTCCAGCAACTTTGTTTTTGTTCCTGATTTACAGCATCCGCAGTTCTTTGGGTTTTTAGAAAAATGTAGGGGATGCAGGGTAGATTGATCATAGGGTAGGATAACAGGTCAGCACAACATGGTGGGCCGAAGGGCCTGTACTGTGCTGTACTGTTCTTTGAACTCTGGGACAGACAGTAAAACCCACATCCCAGCGCATGAGTGAAGAAAATTGAAAGAAAAAAATGAGTTGCCATGTTCAGAGCGTGTGTTAAATTTAAAAATAAAACACACACAATTTTATTTCCCAGCTCCAGTTGCATTTTTTGTTTTCTTGCGAGTCACGTCTGGGCAGCCAGTCACCAAGAGGACAGGTCCCTAGCCACAGGGCATCTGCCGGAAACTCCAACAACACGTTCAAACACGCGCACTCGCGCCCCCCACAGCCATGCCCCTGCCGCGGAACCGCACCAACACATGTGGGATCGAACTGTGCCCAGAGCAGAGGGAACACGCAGAGAGAGAGAGAGAGTTGCGCAGCTTGTGGTCGAGATGAGGATGAGAGAGGAGTAGAGGGAATGTGACCATCTCACTTCTTGCCCGCTGCCCTCCCTTCCGCCTGAGCCAACTTCCTCTTGAGGTCCAGTAACGTTGAGACTTCTGCGTCGATCAGCGATTTATCTGCTTTCTGCGCCTTCAGATCGCGCACGCGGCTCCCCTGGAGGGAGGGAGGGAGGGTGTTTAAAAACGGAATCTCGCCGATCGCATCCACGTCAAACTAAAACCACCTCCCTCCCCCACCCCCCAACCAAAACAAAAAATACCTACTCTACAGCTCTAAGACTCTAAAAATCGAACATTACTGATGCGCCCGCCCCTGCGCTTAATTCTGAGCTCGATCCTTCCTCCCCACCCCCTACAAATCGACAGTGTGACAATACTGGAGCTTTAAGAGGTTGTTCTGTCCTGGTTTCTTTCCAGAGGGAGTTTGAACAGGACCACTTGAGCGCTCAGGTTGGGAGGCCTTAGGGTTATTTCTTTCCTCTCTAAAACATGCAGCCTGAATGGGTGTCACCAGCTCTCGCAGATTCACGTTTCAGGGTTTTAAACTTTTTCAGTAGCATCAGAAGCTATTGATCATAGGGTCTGTTTCCAAGCCGTGCGACTCTTCGGTCCAACCCGTCCGTGCTGACCCAGATATCCTAAATTAATATAGTCCCATTTGCCAGCATTTGGCCCCATATCCCTCTAAACCCTTCCTATCCATGTCCCCATCCAGATGCCTTTTAAATAGTCATTGTACCAGCCCCCATCCACTTCCTCTGGCAGCTCGTTCCACACACGCACCACCCTCTGCGTGAAAAAGTTGCTCCTCAGGTACCTTTTAAATCTTTCCCCTCTCCCCTTAAACCTATGCCCCCCTAGTGTTTGACTCCACTTCTCTGGAGAAAAGACTTTAGCTATTCACCCTATCTGTGCCCCTCATGATTTTATAATGTCACCCCTCAGCCTCCGACGCTCCAGGGAAAATAGCCCCAGCCTATTCAGTCCCTCCCTGTAGCTCAAACCCTCCAACCCCGACAACATCCTTGTAAATGTTTTTTCTGAACCCTTTCAAGTTAACAACATCCTTCCTACAGCAGGGAGACCAGAATTGAACGCAGTATTCCAAAAGTGGCCCTGACCGATGTCCTGTACAGCCCCAACATGACCCTCCCAACTCCTATACTCAACGCACTGACCTATAAAGGCAAGCGTACCAAACACCACCTTCACCGCCCTGTCTACCTGCCACTCCACTTTCAAGGAACTATATACCTGCTCCCCCCAAGGTCTCTCTGTTCAGCGACACTCCCCAGCACCTCACCATCAAGTGTATAAGTCCTGCCCTGGTTTGCCTTTCCCAAAATGCAGCCCCTCACATTTGTCTAAATTAAACTCCATCTGCCCCTCCTCGGCCCATTGACCCGTCTGATCAAGATCAACGTAACCTTCTTCGCTTCCTCCAAATTTCCAATTTCAGTGTCATCTGCAAACTTACTGACCATCCCTTCTCTGTTCACATCCAAATCATTTATATAAATGACAAAAAGCAATGGAGCCAGCACCAATCCCTGTTGCACATTGAGGGTGGTGGTGGGGGTGGGGAGGGTGTCACAGGCTGAAAGGCGACCCTCCAGTCATAAGGACGTCAGGAGCGGCATTTGGCCCATCGAGCCTGCTTCTGCTGTTCAACAAGATCGTGGCTGATCCTTTCCAGCCCCACTTCCCCGCCCGCTCGCCCTAACCCTCAATTACTTCTCTGCTCACAAATCTTTGCCTTAAAAACAAACAAACATTCACCAAGGCAGCCTCACTAGGGCGGGGGAATTCCACACATTCACCACCCTTTGGGTGAAGGGGTTCCTCCCCAACGCGGACCTAAATCTGCTCCCCGCTCTTCGTTTCGAGGCTATGCCCCCTTGTTCTAGATTCACCCGCCAGTGGGAACATCCTCCCTGTTCCTGTCTTATCTGTTCCCTTCATCATTTTGTATGTTTCTGTGAGATTCCCCCTCATTCTTCTCAATCCCAATGAGTACGCTCCCAGTTTACTCGATCTCTCCTCGTAAGCCAACCCTCTCAACTCCAGGATCAACCTTGT